AGACCAACAGCGGCTAACCTTTTTTTATAAAACCAGCCCGGAATATTTCAATTATCAATGAAACTATTGCTAGCATTCCACCAGTTCAGACCAACAGCGGCTAACCTTTTTTTATAAAACCAGCCCGGAATATTTCAATTATCAATGAAACTATTGCTAGCATTCCACCAGTTCAGACCAACAGCGGCTAACCTTTTTTTATAAAACCAGCCCGGAATATTTCAATTATCAATGAAACTATTGCTAGCATTCCACCAGTTCAGACCAACAGCGGCTTACCTTTTTTTACAAGACCAACTCGGAATATGTTAATTATCAATGAAACTAGCATACCACCAGTTCAGACCAACATCTGCTAACATTTTTTTACAAGACCAACCCGGAACATTTTAATTATCAAAAAACTCGTGCTAGCATACCACCAGTTCAAACCAACAGTTGCTGTTGACCTTTTTTTACAAGACCAACCCGGAATATTTTAATTTTTAATGCCCCTGCATTTGACATTATTCGACTGCTAAAAACATAACGTTCTCTTTGTACGTTTTTTATAATATTATTATTATTATTATATCACATCTTCCATTATGCTTTTAATTAGTGAGCAAATAATTGAGATAAACGCAAGAGTCTATGGCCAACTGTAAATATTTATTAACTTATGAAACTTTAGAAGGATTTGTAAACATTTTTTTTTAGTTTGTCCGTCGTTGGAAAAGAGCCTGTTATTGTGCCAATACACGTAATCCTTCAAGTCTTGCCACATATACATACACCATTACGCATGCACATACTTACGGTAAACAATTATGTAAGTGCCCCGTTTCTTCATCTTTCTTCTAATTACGAATACGTGTACAATTAAATACACAATATTTATCAATTTTCTGTGTAAAAAAGTAAACAATGGCTAGAAACCAATGACGAGCTTTCCTGGAAACTGAAAGATTACAATGTTTATAAACGATAATTGCTGCGTGAAGTAAATAAGAAATAATATTCTCGAAAACTGCTGACTAATGCTGAGTCAGAAAAACAAATCACAAAAAAACAAACTTGCACTTCCCGAGTAATAATAAACTGTAACGTGATAGTGATTCTCTCGATCCAATATATTAAGCAGGAAGTATTTTAAAAACTTTTTTTAAATCGTGCGACCCCCCCCCCCCTCGGCTTATATCCTCCAGGGGCAAAAATAGTATGTGGAGCATGGGCTACAAATGCGGGGTGACTCGTCTCCCTCAATGATTTCGTATGTCCTGAGGGCAAAATAAGGGGTGTAGAGTATAGGACAAAGCAGTCAGGGGGTCATATCCCCTCAATGTTTTCATGTAGCATTTATACCCCCCCCCCCTAAAAATTGGGGTACCCATGTCAAAATTTGTACTTTAACCGTTTAGCCACATGGTCTGTAAATCAAGATTTCTGTAAGCAGCTGATAATATTTTTTTCCTTAATTTTTGATGCAGATTTATATATGTACAAACACACACAGTGCATGTAACATCTCACAAGATTTCATAAGAATCCATGTCCCACCCCCAAAACATCTTAGCCATGGTTGAACCTATGATGGGGAAGGAGTGAATTTGGAAAGGTGCTTGTCCCCATGGTCAGCCAACTTTTAAAAAGCATACCAAAGAAGATAGGCTAATCTTCAATATGGTGTTCACAACTTGCCAACTGTTGGTAACAACAGTTTTTTAAACTGACAGTCTGGGAGAGACACACTTGCAAGTTGAATGCAGTGGTTTTACAAATACATGCACACATACTTCTCTTTTCTGTTCCTAT